AGCCTCCCCCCCCCATTTCCCTGCTTTAATTGATTAACTGTTTAAACAGTTAATGGGATTTTACGTCCCTATTGGTGGCAGCCTTGATTCCTCCTCCTCTTCCCCTCCTGCCCCCCCAGTCCTTAAGTCATATTGACTGTGGGGAGGGGGGGGAGAGGCTAGTATTTGACCTATGTGCTCTAACTGAAGATGACAGCCCTTAAATTTCATGTAAGAAACACCTCAAAAGACTATCAGAGGTTGAAATAAGCAATTTTTTTTGGAGAGAGACTCTGCCAGTACCAGAACTCTTATGAGAAGACAGTTTAATTGGGGCACATGGTAATTTTATTTTTTCAGGTAAACAAAATGTCATGCTTCGAATAAAACATTTTATCTTGCAGCTTGCAGTTTGATCCAGCACCACGCAGAGGCGAACCACATGTTACTCGTCGCACCCCAGACTACTTCCTGTAAAGATTTTACACTTGTACAGTATTGCCATGAACCATATGTTGACCTAAAGGAAATGGGAAGAGCAACAGTAACTCCAAAGTGTCAGAAAATATTTAACATTCAAACTTGTTTTCACATGGACCAAAAGATGTGCCATATTAAAATACAAAGCCTCTTGTCAACAACCGTGACCACTTTAGAATGAACCAGTTCATTGCATGCTGAAGCAACATTGTTGGTCAAGAAACCAGTTTCTGGCATAGCACTATTTGTAGTTACTTTTGCTTTCTCTGAGAGACTGCAGATATTAAGATGTAGACATTAACACCTCGTGAATACATTTAACTTTCCATTTAGCTATAGCTTTATTCAGCATGACTGTAGATAAGGATAGCAGCAAACAATCATTGAAGCTTAATGAACATTTTTAAAATAAGTACCAAGTCCGCCTCCTATATATGTTCTGTTTTGTTTTTTTTCAGGGAATACTGTTTAATTTAATTGCATTGATTTTTGTCTCTCTCATTTTTTCCTCCCCATTCTGCCTCCTTCATTTCCCCTGTAATTGTCCAAGCATAGTGAGTTATTTTGAACAGAACTGTTTTTTCCTGTAAAATGATGTTACTGCAGGAAAGTCCTGCAGTGTTTTTTCATAATAAACTTGTGAACTAAGTATCTCAGGTTAACTCTGTGCTGGTTTTAATAAAAGGTTGATTTTCATGATGGGTTTTATAAACCTGTATAGAAATCTTCAACTTTAATATCTAATTAAACATGAGGTGGTAATACTATTGGGTTCTGAATTCCCTATTTGCTGATTGCTTCACCAATATCTTTGAGGACCTAAGTAGCATGGAGGTAGCAGCACATTCTACAATCCTCTTTAATCCATAAATAGAAGCAGTGTATTGTGCTGTGCTCTGATTCAATGTCAATATTTATTTATTGCTTTGCAATTTAATAGACATTTTTAGAAATAGCTTGTACTCTGAATTACTTTTTGCTCTCTTTCTCATCTTTGTAAACATTGGCCTGTGGAGTAAACTTGCTACTTGATCTTAACTGACACCATTCCTGGCTGTCCTACCAGTCCTTCCTTATTACATGAATTGGCATGTTGGATTTTTTGTTTCAAGGAGGCAAGGCAGCCTCTGCAGAAGCATGTGAGCGGGTAACTGGGTGACATTTTATCTTCAAGGACACAAAAGCAGCTCTCACTTAGTCAATGGATGCTGAGGGCAGAATCTATTTCTTCTCTCTTGGCATAGTCATCCAGATTTTTTGGAGTCCTTCCTCTAGTTTGTCTTCATAATCTGTATTGTGTTTAATTACTTGGAAAACCAAGGAGAATGTATATTTCTGGATTCCATGAGTGTGTTAGAATTGCTCTTCATAATGTGTTGGTTTCATTACAAATTGGTCAGCTACATGATAGCACCAACTACTTTAAAAACATGTTTGAAAGATCCCAAATAAAGAAATGCTTGCCTGTTTAAAAATAAAGTTGCTATTTAAGTTACTTTCCTCATAGGGTGACAAATAGGAGCAATTGGTCAGTTATCTTTTTGTTGAGTAACTCTACATTTCCCATAAACAAAACTTGATTAATTTTGAAGCTGAGTTATCACTTGCTCTGGCAGAGTAACATAAGAAATGGGTTACACATTGCCTTAGGTGATAGGCATTACCTCACATTTCAGTAACATGCAGAGATAGTTTATCACTATTCCTGTTTCTCCTTTCATGAAATCTTAAAGGTTTGACTTTTGCAGCTCTGCATAAGAACTGGAAAGAATCTGAATAGTTTCTTAAAGTGTTCTATTGAGTTACTAAAATGGAAAGTTTTAACTTAAGACACAAGTCTCAGGGCTACTCCTGTTAGTCTGTAACTTTTAAAAATGAATAGTTAGCACTTTAGAGACTAACAAACACCGTGGCTACGTCTACACTGGCATGATCTTGTGCAAAAACTCTTTAGCGCAAGACTTCTTGCGTTTAAGTAGTTGTGCAAGCGAGCATCTACACTGGCATGTGCTTTTGCGCAAGAGCATCCATGCCAGTGTGGAAGCTTTCTTGTGCACGACAGCGCTGATGGCCATTTTAACCATAGGGCTTTCTTGTGCAAGAAATTCATGTTGCCTGTCAACACTGGCCTCTTGCGCAAGAACAGTTGCGCAAAAGAGCTTACTCCTGAGTGGGAGCATCATAGTTCTTGCACAAGAAGCCCTGACTTCATACAGTAGAACGTCAGTTTACTTGCGCAAGAACTCGTGGCCAGTGTAGATGTGCAAAAACTTGCTGCCTAAGAGCGGCTGCTTTGTTGCAAGATCGCGCCAGTGTAGACACAACCATATAGTATGAGCTTTCATGGGTAAAAGCTTTCAGATGAGCTGGAAGAAGTGGATTTTGCCTATGAAATACGTATAGGTGTGGCAGGACTGCTTGTTTTTAAAGACCCTAGAAACACAAGACTTAGCCCTGATTTACATCCAGAACATCTGTCAATCTAGCTACACCATTCAAGGTGTGAAAATTCATGCCCCTAATATGTGGTTAAGCCAATATAAGCCTGGTAGAGAGATCAGTAGGTCAACAGAAGAATTCTTCCTTCAATCTAGCTACCACCAAGAGTGGATTTACTACAGCAGTGGAAAATCTCTTCTGTCACTAGAGTAAATGTTTTCACTATAGTGATGCAAGTGCAGTGCTGTACCAGTCATGACTGTAGAGTAGACATTCCAGGACTTGTACAGTGCTTCACAGACAGCCTCATATTCTATCACTGCATTGCCTTTTCTCTGTTACTAATTGTGTAGTAGTAGCAGCATTCTTGTTGCATTAACACATATGAAGAGAATATTTAGAGCGCAACATACTGTTACAAGCTGCGTAAAACCTTGTTATAGGTAAAATTAAAACCTTATTGAGACTGATAGTGTGAACTTACTCTTAAATTAACAATTGTTAAATACATTAATCATTTTTTTTCATAGTCGGGGCATATCTGAACTGTCAGCTTGCACTGAGTGGGCAGTGGGTTCAGTGTGTGTGTGTGTGTGTGTGTGTAAAAACGTTGCTTGCGTCAACAGAACTGGCGGCAAGAAAGCCTGTAATCAGTGTGACCATTGGAAAAGCTGGAGAGCTTTCGAGTCTTGCTAAAGAAATTTGGGACTTACTGTTGATTTTGCAGAAGGAGCTAAGGACATTGGGAGAAGTAGAATTTTGTACAGTCCTTTGTATATAGACAATATCTCAAAGAAAATACCAGACTCCTACCTAGGGGTGTGAAAGGTTACTGGCAACTGGGAGTGGCCCAAATCCCAATTAGTTTGTTCAATATTAGGTTAACTGCTTAACTTAACATTTAATCAGTTAACTGACCAGGATTTTGCATCCCTGGAATATCCCCACTGCTGAAATTTTTGGCTAGTCATGTAGTCAAGAGGGCAACCCTGAGAGAAATAGGTTTGAATTTCCAAGCAGAGAGATGTAGTATTCCTGTTGAATCAAGATGAAACGAATAAATAGAGGTGTTGGCAGAAACCAAAAACAGGCAGCAGAGGTTTAAAATAGGAGCTGGAGACTTTGCAAAAAGAATTAAGATGACCTAAAGCAAGCCCAGAGATTTCCCAGAAAGAGCTCAGATGACTTGCAGCTGACATGATATTCCTGTTGAAGTAGCAGCTAACAAAGTGCCTTGGGAATGCAGCTGCATGACAACCAGGCTGGAATAGTAAAACATCTAGAAGTACCAACACTGATTTCCATAGACCAGAATATTTTCCACAACTAGTAGAGATGAAGTAACCTTTTGACAACTTAGGACTTGCCTATACCTGAGCTGCATCAAAGAGCTGAAAATTCAATTTCAGAAGGAAACCAAAGTATCACCATGGAAGGCAACCCCTTGGATGAGACAGTAAGCCAGCCAGAAGACTTGGGTAAGAGAAGACATTTACAACAGTTTTTTGTACCCTGTTTGTAGTCGAGAAGAGAGATTAAGCTAGTCCAGCCCAAATGGTATGACAACCACTAACTTTGGGAAGGAAACACTTAGGAAGCTTATTCAGCTCAATTCAACACTAGAGATCAAATGCAGCAAGGAGCTGAGGATTCTAGTCCTCCCTTTTTGCTATAACGAACTGGGTATAGTGAACAAATCGCTTGGATCCCCTGAGGCTTATTACAGTGAGGGTGTATTGTATTTAATTTGTACATTCAGACTTGAATAGACTCATCCAATCTCATGATACTTATAGGTTGCTAGGAGACATGATTGTTTACACAAACTTCCAAAGTTTAATCAAATAGCAAATCTGCAAAAGACTCAAAATGCGAAAATTAAATAAAATCAGTGTTTTAGATTGTACAAAACAGTATCCCAAGTAATTGCATGCTGATGGTGGAAAGTTGCAGTGTCATATTAGACTACGTGTCAAATATAGATGCACTTAAATTCTGATTCTCACCATAATGATAAATGCAAAGTGGAGACGATCGGACATCAAAAGCAAAACATCAGACAATTGTCATGTTTGTTTAATGTCAGTACTGAGAGTTGTGATGCCCAAAATGTGCTGTATATTGAATTTGTCAAAACATTCTCAAAGTGCAAATAAACCAATGTAGAAACTGGATACCTATATAAACTGGATAAGGGAGAACATTCAGAAACTTAATTCCAAACATAGGTGCTCACTCTTTGCTAACATGCTTCACCAAAGATTACTTATCCAAATTGACATACAGAGAAAGGAGTTGAAAGAGCATATGAAAAAGCTAATTCTGTATGCGCACTGTTCAGTCAACAGTGGCTCAGAAAAGCTACAATCATTTCTTTTGGACAGTCCTTAAACTGGAAAATTATTAAACTTTGTCACAGACACCAAACTGCATAAGGAATTTGGATATGGACTTTGGTAAGGAGTCAGTATCAGACAATATGTTATAATGTACTTAAACATTTACTCAAGTTCAACAGAGACTACTTCTGAATTTGGTGCATACCATGTGCAATTGGACTAGCAGTCATCAGTGTGTTCATTTTTCCCCCCTGAAACCTATACATTCAGGCTACATCTACACTACATGCTGCTTGCGCAAGAAGCCTTTGTGTAAGAGTTTTTGCGCAAAAACTTCTTGCACAAGAGCATGCCCACACCTCAAAGCGATGTGCTTTTGCGCAAGAGAGCATCCACACTGCATGAATGCTCTTGCATGAGAAATCTCTGATGGCCATTCACAGAATGGCCATCAGAGCACCTGTGCTTTTTCCCATGGGGATTTCTTGTGCAATAAACCTCTCTGGAGAGTCCACACTTGCCTTTTTGCGCAAGGACTCTTGCACAAAAGGGAGTATGCCTTATTTAAAAAAGGAGGTTTACCTATGGGGGAAAACCCTCTGTTCTGCCATGTTACTCTTGATTTCCTTGCGCAAAACTGCATTTGAGATGTAGATGCTCCATGGCTTTTTGCGTAAAAACAGCTGGTTTTATGCAAAAACCTTGCAGTGTAGATGTAGCCTCATTCCTGCAATCAAGGAAATGTTTAAACAGCACAGCATTTTAAGGTTTCTTTGCAGGAAAAAACCCTTAATCCTGATCAAACGCCTCTGTCTAGAACCAGTAGCGCCACGATGGAATTCATTCTTTACCACGCTGAAGATGTGACTACTGTGAGTTCACTAAAAGTGAAATGGAGATTTCACCTGATGCTGAAGGAATGGATAGACTGTGCCTTTAAATTACATGCCTTTAACACTTGACATAGATTTCATTGTTTGGAATGCCAGAACATTGAGGAAAACCATTGAATCTTTTTTAAATGTTCTGTTTCTATCCATCAATCATACTATGCTATCAATCATACTAATGGATTTGAGATACTAGGAAGATTCCAAGGAAAAAGAATAGTACAGTGAAGTTGCAATGCAGAATGCATTTTTACAGGGTGTATTCAAGACAATGGGGCTACGTCTACACTGGCGCGATCTTGCGCCAGAAGTATGCAAATGAGGCTAAGCGTGGCATATCGCCGAGCCTCATTTGCATATCTAATGAGCCACCATTTTTGCAGAAGAGGCGCTTGCGCCAGAAGGAACTGTCTACACTGCCCCTTCTTGGGCAAGAAAAACCCTCTTGCGCAATGCCACTACGCTGATTATTTTCAGGAATAACAGCATTGCGCAAGAATGGGCAGTGTAGACAGCTTCTGGTGTAAGAGCCTCTTCTGCAAAAATATTGGCTCATTAGATATGCAAATGAGGCTCAGTGATATTCCACACTTAGCCTCATTTGCATATTTCTGGCGCAAGATCGTGCCAGTGTAGACATAGCCTGGCAGAGGAGCTGAAA